GATCAGACACTAAATGTTTGAAACTATTGTAGAATGGGCATTTCAGGTTAGGCCAGTCCTGTAAGGTTAACCTTACAGAGATTTTGGAGAGGATGGAAATAATAGGGGTTTCTTGGTTGGAGGAGACAGCATCCACTCAGGCACAGTAGGAACCCGAAGTACTGAAGATAGAAGGGATCCGTTGAAAAAGGTTTCTTTAACCTTAAATTGGGTGGCACAGATGGTTAAGAATCTACCTGCAATGCAGGAGATCTGGGTTCTATCCCTGGGTCAGGAAGCTCCCCTGGAGAAGGGAATAGGTGCCCATCCAGTATTCTTGCCTGGGAAATCTCATAGACAGAGGAGCCTGGCAGGTTACAGTCCATGGAGTCACAAAAATGGGGTTTCTTTTATTTAGTTGGGAATTAGGAGACTGCAGTTTCTTGGGAAAATACTTCGTTGCATACATGTTTGATATAGATTGGGCTGCTGTTGGTAAGGATGTTCTGGTATGAAGTTATATAAAATTTGGTCTGTCTGAGCAGCCCTGTAAGTAGATGATTGCACGAAGGGGCAGTTCAGTTGAGGATGTGGTGGAGGAACGCTATCCTTGGACTTTTCTATCTAGGAAAGCTATAGTACCTATGGAGTATGAGGATTCAGAAGGGGCTGCAGCCATGTTGGCTCCCTTCTAAACCTCCCAGCTATCCCACCTGGGAAGTGGATTGCTGATTTATGCCGTGGTTACTGCTGTGGCTTCTGTGATCTTACGTCAGGTCTGCCCGTGGTTTGGGGATTAGAGACTGGGGCTTGCCAACTTCAGAGTCAGGTTGTTCTTGTAGTTAATTAAGTTAATTATTTACAACCATTTGACATGATGCAGAATCATGTGTACACAAACACACAACTGGATTTCTTTTTTATTTTTTGGCTCCTGTTTCTTTTCTTCTTGAAATAGTGATTTTTAGGGAGGTAGTAGGGGACTTGGAATTATTTCCAAAAAGAAATACTTACCTAGAATATTACTTACAAAACATTTTATAAATCTGACATGACATTGTGATTTTTTGAGATATTGTTGTACTGCTTTACAGAATTTCGTCTTATTTTAGTAGTAAGGTAATTTGAAAAATCTCAATAATAATGAGTGGGATTACTGAGTGGATAGCCAGGGTTAACTGATACAAATTCTTAGCACTATTTGTCATGTTGATATAATTGCAGTTTTTGGCAGATGAGGTATATCTCTAGGTTTATATATTTGTCAACTTAAATATAAATTTTGTCTCTCAAAAAGAATAAAAGTTAATAGAGTATAAAAGAGGGAAATAGTATTTCTGATGTACTGTATTTTTTATATCTTAGCATTATCTCTTTTGGGACATCCCAGATGGTACAGTGGTAAAGAATCCGCCTGCTAATGCAGGAGATGCAGTAGACAAGGGTTCGATCCCTGGTTTGGGAAGATCCCCTGGAGAAGGAAATGGCAACCCTGTCCAGTATTCTTGCCTGGGAAATCCTGTGGACAGAGAACCCTGGTGGGCTACAGTCCATGGGGTCACAAAGAGACACAGCTGAGCATAGCACAGCATTATCTCTCTTAAAAAAAAGATTTGCTTAATTTTGTTCTTCAGGTATAATTAAAGCATATGAGCAGTAGTGCCAGTATCCCTAAACATTTTTTAACACCTATCTAATTTTCCACGTATTGAGTATCCACTATGATTTTAGTCTGGAGTGAGTTGTGATGGGCTATAAGGAGATGATATATATATATATATATATTTGCCCCAAATGCATACACACAAGAAAATTCAAATAACAATGTGAGGTTGCCCCTGATTAGTGGTTACAAACAAGAGGAGTCTCAATATTACACTGTGAATAGGAAAATACTTGGTGTATAGCATTCATTTCTCAGATACTTATTGAGCACCTATTACTTTCCAGCAGAACATAAAGCATGTGCATATCGTGACCCCAGATATACAAAACATATTATATGAATCATGACCCCAAAATGATTGAGAAGAAAGGACTTATTAGTATCTCAGTATATTATCTGCTACTGAGCCAGCATAGTTCCAGGTATCAATCAGGTGGCAGAACTGTCTTTCTTAGCAGAGCCACATGTCTCCTCACAGTTCCTCCCATAGCATAAAGCACAAGACTCCAAATAGAAATACTTTCTGTACTGCTTAATCTTGAAGGATTCATGTGTATCACTGTGTGTGTGTATGTGAGAGAGAGAGAGAGAGAGAGTGTGTGTGTGTGTGTGTGTGAGAGAGAGAGGGTTTTTTTTTTGGATCAGCCATCAGTTCAGTTCAGTCACTCAGTTGTGTGACTCAGTTGCGATCAGCCATAGTTGAGATTAAGAGATTGCAGAGTATAAAAATTAATAGTGATAGTTGCTGAATTCTTTTAACCTATTTATTGACTAAAAAGAAACTGCCTTCATCTTTACCCATCTCTGCATCTAACAGCATGTCTGTAGTTCTCTGCTGAGTTGGGGGTCAGAGGATAGAGAGGGCGCACATTCGGCGTCTTCACTCCTTTGGTCCAGCCTTATCTGAGGTACTTGGTGACTTTGCTAACTCTGTCACATCGCTGGTGACAGGGTTACTTGTGACAGCTCCCTTATGCAGAGGTCGGTCAGTCAGGCAGTCGGTCAGTCCCAGATCCAGAACAGCATTAAAAACACGGCTTCATCCAGTGCAATTGTTCATTCTCGTGTTTTCCTTTCAGTGCGAGGGAAATCACTGATCACATAGACACTGGTTATTGGTTGAAAATCACATAAGTCATTTATGACTCTGATTTGGAACCAGATGTTTTTGGATTGAAGGAGCAGTCATTTCCATGGCTGTTTTGTGTATTAGTGGTAATAACCTTTGGTTGACATTGCCTGACAAAGAAATATGATCTGCAGTGGAAACTCCAGGAGATGTATTAGCACAGAGTACACCCTCAGCATTTTCATTAGCTTTTTGCCTTTTGCCTTTGTCCTTGGCTGTGCATTGCTGCTCCTCCACTCCCGTCTCTCATTTGTGCTGGAATGAAAATTGTGAATAGAATTTGTTGCTTTTACTTCATAGGAGGGCAAGGGTTTTGAAACAGGCTACATGTTGTCCTCTTTAATGAGAGATGTTATACTGTCAAAAGCCTTGGAGTTTTTTCTTTCCATAAACTGTAAATTCATGTTTTCTCTGTTATTGAACAAATGGGTTTTTTGAATTCTGACCTTTAAGACTTATGAGCTAATGAATACGTTATTTAAAAGTGGTATTTGGTAAGTGAGGATGAGTGTCAGTAGAAGACAGTGTTTAATGTTTGGTGTGATTCTGTACATGTCCTATTGCTTTCATTCTAAGCATTATTGATTTTAAGATACACCTTCAATTTAGTAATAGCTTTTGGAGAAGAAAAAACAGTAATCAATTACAAGATAAACTTGGACTTTAAAAATGAGTAAAGAATTGCAGGAATGTGACAGCATATATGTCATCTACCTAAAAAATGCAATTAAGTCCCTTAACTAGACAAGAAACTGTTAATTTTATTTTTCAGTTTTGCTTCTTGAGCACTTTCATCTTATGGGTTTTCTGTATTTTCTATTCTAACTTTAATAGAGTCATATGGTCTTTAATCCTAAAAGGCAAGTTTATTTATAATCTTAGGAGAACAGTCTGGTTACTTTGAAAATGATTTTTTTTTCATTGTAAATAAGGAAGTTTATTGTAAAAATAGTTTTCAAAATAAAGTTAGTTGAAGCCAGTGGCTTTTTGATGCAACACTGTTTTAAACTGGCTCTGCCCACAGGGAGTTACATTGTGGCCAACAGAAACTATTGCCATTTAGTAAGGCATCTAATCTGTAAGGAGTTGGGTGAAGGCTTGAATTGTTTCCATCCTCCTTGATGGAGTGGAAATTACAGAGGCAAAAGCCACCAGCAGAATTGCCTGAAGATTCACTAAAGAATTGCTGTGCAGCTCTTTTGCTGGTGGGTAAAACCTTGTATAGAAGAATTACATCTACCTTTCTGACAGGTTTTCTTACAAAATAGGTATCATTTCATTGAATAGTGTTAGAGATTACTGTATTTCATCAATTTCAAAATGCACATTCTCTCCCACATTTTTATATTTTCAAAATCAGGGATATTCTTTACAAATGATGGCAGCTCACAACTGACTGGGTGGCAGTTATGATATAGTTGTCATCTGCCTGTATTCCAGTGAACTTGGTTATAGCTATCTGTATTGTTGTCACTTCAGTTGAATTGTGTGCATTTTTGGTATTACATCAGTTGAGTTCAGTTGCCATTAACATGTCTTCAGAAGGAATACCCTGTGACTTGACATTGAAAAATAATGTACATAAAGTGGTGTGAAAACCGAAGCAGGGAACAATTTAGGTATGAAGAAAACAAATATTCATTAGTGAAGGATTGACTGCAGTTCCTCAGGTTTTTTGTTTTTGTTTTTTGCAAAGCCATAATGAAGTGCTTTGCCATATCTACAAAAGGAAAGAACCTAGTTGAAGAGGCTCTGGTATGCTTTTATTACCAAAATCCCTGCTAAAGAATTGACTGCCACACACCAAGCAAGTCCAACATTAAAACTTGCAAAAAAGGGCATCAGACACTTGGAAGAATTTCTCTGAGGTATTCATAAGAAATGCTGTCTATATTCCCAACATTCTTGATCACAGAAGAATTAAAGTCACACAGAGGTGCGATCGGATTTGAAGTAATTCAGAAGTGTAAAATGCTTCAGGAATTTTTCAGCTAATTCTTTTTAAAAAAAAAAAAAGTGTGTAAGAATAATATATAATGAAAGTCTGTGCCCAAAGTCAGAAAGTTCTTTTAGTTTAGTATAGTGTAAAAATTTTAAGTGATGAGAAAACATTTTGCCAATTTATTTGGTAATGGTTTTATTTTCAGTGGTGGATCTTATCTGATTATTGATTCAGTGACTTGCTAATTCGTTATTGAAACTGTATTCTTGACATAATTATTGTAGGTGCCTAATGGATAAGAACTTCGTTAGGATTGGGAAATGGTTTGTCCGACCTTATGAAAAAGATGAAAAGCCAGTCAACAAAAGGTGAGTCTTTGCATTGCTTTTGGTCTTTGGGTTTCTTTTGCTTGACCGCAACTGTCTTTGGAGAAGAGATGAATGGAGGAAGCAGCTTTTTTTTACTTTCCAGTAATGTTAATAGTTTAGATGTTTGAAACAGATTCCTGGATCACATTTTATTAAATACTCTATTACTAAGTTTTTGTGGAATATTAAATTTGGCTAGAAAAATTATCGGTAACCCATGTCTGAGATCCTTATAGCCACACTCTTTGGAATTGAATTAGTCTATTTTGTTATTCTAATTTATCTTTCTTCCTTAAAGTGTTATGTGGCATAACTTTACATCAATAGTCAAGCGAATTCAAATGGTGACAGTTTTTATAGAATTGTTTGATGCCCTTAAAAGTTGGTCAACACATCCTTGAAAGTTGTCAGACCAGGACTGGGAATTACTTATCTAAACAGTCCTAAACTTTTAACGATCACTTATTATATACAAGGCTTTAAAGGCAGTCTTTGATACTAAACAAACATGGAATTTTAGATCAATCAAGCCAGAATCAAAATTCAAAACCATCAAAATCTAATATTTATCTCACTTTGCTTTGAACACAATGTGAATTTAATTGGAAGTTGGTGATTATTTCATTTTTGTAGAACTGAGGACACAGTCTTGATTCTATTTTACTATCTATGAAGTTGTCCAAAGCTAAGGGTACCAGCTAGTGGCTGTAGACATGAGCTCTTGAAGCCTTATGTGGTAGGTTCAGTTGTTTGGTTAGTTGGCCAAAATTTCAGTTGGCTACTCTGCCTCATCTTCCAGTAATACCAGCCTTCTCTCCAATCTGTATGTCATAAAGCTTTGACTTTAATGGTTGTGGAATCTCCTTATTAACTAAACCTAATTTATGAAAATTGGAATTTTTCAAATCAGATAAATTAGGGACTGACTTTGCTTTTTCTTTTTGCCAAATCATCACTAACTTCCTTGAAATATTCCCCCCCTTTTAGTACACAAAGCATTTTATTAAAAATTGTGTTTAAGTAGGTAGTAGGTATTGTGGGTATCAAAGTTTGCCTGAAAAGGATAATAATTTTTAGAAAAAAGGTACTAATGTGTCTGGGTGTGGTTCTGTTTACAGATGCTTTGATTGATGGAGAGGAAATTTTTTTCCCTTTTATTTTTATTGATTTCATATAACTGATGAATGTTTCATGGACATAATTCATCTTAGCATTTTCTTTAAATTTATAGAGGACTTAACTTTCCTGCTGGTTTAAGTTCGGACTGTCATTGTTGGAGTCTGAATGGTGACGCATGGTGTTGCTTTAGTGCAGGGTTCTCCTTTGCTGTCCTCAGCCCGCCTCTCCATGATCAGTGAGCATGTTCACAGCTGGTCTCTGATGAATTAACTGAGCCAGTCCTGAAAGTTTTGACCAAAAGGTACAGATATTTGTGTGATGATTTGTGAGGAATTTGTGGATGAAGAGGAAATGTAGAAATAGGAGTAGCTGTTGTAGCTAAATGTAGAAATAGGAATGAAGGAGTAGCAATTACTATTTTAATGTAAAAAATAATGTTTAACAGTCAGATGTACTTCTTTTTTAGCTTGTATATCTTTACACTTTATTTAGATACTCAAGAGTCTTCCTGACTTTAGCAAGCCAGATGTAAATAATGCATGTAATATGTTTGGATATTTGATTTTGTGTACCTGGGAGGCTATTGATTTCTGAACAGTGTAATTTAGTTATTTTATTATTTTTAAGACTTTAAGTTGTGGTTGAATCTTGTGCAGCTTTTCGTGTAGAAATATTGATACTTTTAAAAAGCTATTTTGGAAGGTGTTAACAATTAGAAAACATTTTAAAGCAAAGATTCTATTAAAAAATTTGGCATCTGCTATAATAAAACTTTTATTAGGGGTAATGACTTTTTCACTCTTGTTCTCTCAGTGGAAAATAGAGTATCTTGTCGGATGTTGAATAGGATCTCAGTGCTTAAGTCATTTTGGGTGGATAGGGTAGCGATGTAGGGGAGGTCATTTAGGGTTAGAAGAGTTGGAATCACATCCTACACCTCTTTTTACAAGTTACTTGCTTTTATAAAAGTTGTTTAGTTTTTCTGAGTTGTACTTCTATTTTTTGCTGTTATTGAATTGATAATGGTATCTTGGAGGATTATTGTGAAAGTTAAATGAGTTGATTAATATGACTAGTTTATAATTTATTTGAGAAACAAGAAGAACAAATTAATCTTCTTTAAGCTTTTTCTTTTGTTTTAGTACATACTAGTTTAGTATTAATGGAGAGGAGTTTGCTGCAAATGCTAAATGCTTTGTATGTACAAATTAATATTTTTAGGAATCCCCTAATTTGATATCATTAGACCCAAATAAAAAGAACATACTATAAATAATAATATTCTAAATATAAAGTAAACTGATACTAGCATATAGATACTTTTGATCAGTAGATCAAATGCACCACTTAACACACTGGATATTCTAAGTAAGCTAAAATAACTCTAATAGTGGCGACAAAAGATTATATTGATGACTAGGTTTCACCAATTCGATTAATAATATATTATTTTTTGAGCTATTATTTCTCTCTGTATTGATAGTAAAAATAAGTCATTTGCTAAAGGACTCTGAAATTAAAGTTCTCAAAGTTTGATATGAGATGATGTTCAGGATAGTAAAGAAAAATTATATATGTGTATAAATTTACACACACAGATTTGACCAGGCAGGTCCAGGAAGATAAAAGAAATTTATATCATTTTTTGTTTTTGCTATAGTAGTGTATTTCTTGTTACTCATTCTTGGAAATATAATCAGTAAGAAAGAGAACTTGGCTTTGTCCTAAGAAGTTGTGACAGCTAACATCAAACAAATAAAATTTCTGATTTCTAAGGCATATTGAACTTGAAAAAGCCTTAGCTTCCAGAGTATTCTTAAAAACAAACCAGTAAAAAAATGTTCTTTTAAGATAACGTAAAAATTATTCCAGTGGTGGAGGTTCTTTCTATTGGAAAGATGTCTATTTTCTACTTTAGTCTAACTTCAGCCCATACTTGACTGCCACAGAATTTGGAGTTTATATTCCTTAGTCTTTGAATGCCATTTTTAACAGAATAATTGATTGTCCCCAATAGCAGTTTGGCTGTTTGATATATACATATCAGATGTATGGTAGCTGAGTTAACACAAATACTAACTTGCCAGTGCGTTTTTTGAATTAATTTGCCATCTCCTCCTGTGGGCAAACCTGCCCTTCTCTTGGGTGATGCTCCAAGTAGCCTCCCATGTCTTCAAATATTTTAATTACTTTTGTGTGTGCTGTTAACAGATGCACATGCACATACACAATTGGAAGTATATTACTTTGAGTGCTTTTGTGTCATCTCATCTGGATATTTTCTTGACTCTTAAGCCTGGGATTATTTCTTTAACTTCCTTTTTATGTTCATATATTACCTAGCTAGAGATGCACTCATCCTTTGATTTTAGTAGCCAAAAGCAGTTTCTGTGTAAAGGGATGGAATATTTTGAGGTGCCAATATTCTTTAGCACTTTAAAACTTTCCTTCCCTCTCTTTCCTTACCCTCCCCTGTCTCTTCACCTCTTCTTGTTTTCCTTTCCATCTTCCTCTTTCCTGTACTTTCCTTATATTATAGCCCCAGTCATCTGTGTTTCCCTCTTGAGATGCAGAGATAAAAATTCAGGGAAAGGGATCTCACTAGAGGGTAAGCAATTTAAACAGTCACTTCATTGTAAAAAGTAACGAGAATCTGCTATTGGTGTCCAGAAAAGTAAGATCATTAGTGATAGCCTTGTAATTTTCCTTGTAAATTTACTTTGCACGTGTGTGGTGCCTTTAAGAATTTATGATGGGAAATTAATTTTAAAAAGTAATGGGACAATTTGGATGTATTAATCATACATAATAATTTTACCATAGCTTTTGTTTGCTTTTGGTGGATCTATAAAATATGTAGTCATTTTCTGCTAGTTTACTGATGGAAGATATATCAGAAGGTACTATGTATTATGTCTCTTGAATTTGAGAATTGTATGAAAAGTGAGAAGATGAGGTTAGGGTCCTGGGGAGCATTTACAGGATTGGTAGAAAAAAGGGATATATAAAGGAGACTAGGGAAGGTCAGTGAGAAAGGAGACAGACCCAGGAGGATTGGTATCATCAAAGCCATGAATTTTTAAAGTGTCAAGATTAATCAGCTATCTCTACCAGTGAGGACATATAAAATACATTCTAAAAGGTAGTTATGCAGTCATGATGGACATGACATGAGCAGTTTCATTGAAGTGAATTTCAGGTTGTGGTAGCCTAAGATATAAGTGGGAGTTGAAATAAAGATAGGAATGTAGACTTCTTGCTGTATTTTGTCATAGGTGTCTGCAAAGTGTTAAACTGTTGGATCTACTACTAGGAAGGGAGGAGACAAGAGCCTCTGATGAGTCTTAGTGATACTGTCTGTCCTTCTTAAAAGTATCTTTCATATCCCAGACACTCTGCTTTGTACTTTCACAGACATTATGCTTAGAGTGTTAAATTGAAAGACTGGCTCAACCAGAAATAGCTTGTTTACTTTTTAAAAATTACTTTCCTTTTTTTCTTAATAACCAAAAGGCAGTCATCAATGTTAATTTTGGGGTTTTTTCCTATTAGTAGTCTAAAAAGTAGACAACAAAAACTTATATACTGAATATCAGTAGTGGATTTTCACAGTTTAAATATATACTGTCCAGTTTCAAAATGGATTTTAAACACCCTACAGTGGTGCGCTAACTCTCTTGAGTCGTGTCCAACTCTTTGCAACCCCGTGGACCATAGCTGCCAGACTCCTCTGTCCATGGGATTCTCCAGGCAAGAATACTGGAGTGGGTTGCTATGCCCTTCTCCAAGGGATCTTCCTGAGTCAGGAATTGAACCCATGTCTCCTGCATTGCAGGTAGATTCTTCTTTAAAAATGTACCTATATATCTGTATACATATAG